CCCCCCCCCACTGACTCATGTCTTCAGGTGTTTCCTTCTGTGGGCCGTCATTCGTTTTGTTTTTACACCTGTTCTCGTCAGTCCTTCCCCCTCACCTGTCTCTCACCTGCCCTCTGCACCCTGCTGGACTCCACATTTCTCTCTCATTTCTTGGACATGACCCATGGACCCAGGTTTTGACCTTTGCCTTCAGACTCTCCCCCACCTGGCCACAGTAGGCCCACCCTCACCTGCCTTCTGACCTTGTCATTGGAGTTCACCTGGTTAAACACAAAGGTTAAGCCATGAAAAGAGTCCTTTGGGACTTTTACCTGTGGGGCAGCCAGCAGCAGGCTCATGGTCCAGGCCAGCAGGAGCATGCAGCGGTTCCTGTGGTGCGCGCTCAGAGCATCCAGAGGGTGCAGGATGGCGTGCTGGCGGTCCAGGCTGATGACCACCAGGATGAAGGCGGACGCGTGCATGGCGAACAGCTTCAGGAAGCAGAGCAGCTTGCAGAGCGCATCGCCACCGTACCACTGCACCGTCACGTTCCACACTGCGTCCAGAGGCATCACCACGAAGGTCATCAGCAGGTCCGCTGACACCAGGCTCAGCATGAGCGGGCGCAGGTGAGACGACAGCCGTCGGCCACGCCCACACCACACGCTGGACAACAGGGCCAGGTTACTGCAGGCTGCAAACAGGAAGAGGACCAGGGTGGCGCCCACTCGGACCTGAGCAGCTCTGGTGAAAGTGGGAGGGTCCAGGTTTGTGAACGGACTGTGTGACATGTTGACAGGAGGCGGAGCTTCAGAGACGCTGGGAGGAGCCAGCACCGACCCGTTTCCTGACATCCTGTGAAGAAGAAGAAACAAGAAATACTGAGTGTGGAGATTATAAAGGGTTAACTAAACCCAGACTGAGAACAGGTAGAAGAGTCCGGTTACACAAAGAGACTCACTGTAACTACACACACTGAACACATGATACAAACATGTGTAATACTACAAACATGTGTAATAATACAAACATGTATGTAATAATACAAACATGTGTGTAATAATACAAACATGTATGTAATAATACAAACATGTGTGTAATAATAACATGATATAAACATGTGTGTTATAATAACACAATATAAACATGTGTAATAATAACAACACATGATATAAACATGTGTGTAATAATAACACGATACAAACATGTGTGTAATAATAACACACGATATAAACGTGTGTAATAATAACACATGATATAAATATGTGTGTATTAATAACACAAGATATAAACATGTGTGTAATAATAACACAAGATATAAACATGTGTGTAATAATAACACAATATAAACATGTGTAATAACAACACATGATATAAACATGTGTGTTATAATAACACAATATAAACATGTGTGTAATAACAACACATGATATAAACATGTGTGTAATAATAACACACGATATAAACGTGTGTAATAAGAACACGATATAAACGTGTGTGTAATAATAACACATAATATAAACGTGTGTGTAATAATAACAACACATGATATAAACATGTGTGTAACAATAACACATGATGTAAACATGTGTGTAACAATAACACATAATATGAACATGTGTCTAATAACTACACACAATATAATCATGTGTGTAATAATAACACACAATATAATCATGTGTGTAATAATAACATGATATAATCATGTGTGTAATAATAACACACAATATAAACATGTGTGTAAAAATAACACATGATATAAACATGTGTGTAAAAATAACACATGATATAAACGTGTGTGTAATAATAACAACACATGTTATAAACATGTGTGTAACAATAACACATGATATAAACATGTGTGTAACAATAACACACAATATAAACATGTGCCTAATAATTACACACAATATAATCATGTGTGTAATAATAACACACAATATAATCATGTGTGTAAAAATAACACATGATATAAACATGTGTGTAACAATAACACACAATATAAACATGTGTGTAAAAATAACACATGATATAAACATGTGTGTAAAAATAACACACAATATAAACATGTGTGTAAAAATAACACAAGATATAAACATGTGTGTAATAATAACACGATATAAACATGTGTGTAATAATAACACACGATATAAACGTGTGTAATAAGAACACGATATAAACGTGTGTAATAAGAACACGATATAAACGTGTGTAATAAGAACAC